GTATTTTAAGTAAATTAACACATAAGTTTAAGAAAACGCCTTAATCATTGGTGTTATAAAACAAGGTTTTCAGCATAAATACTAATTTCAATAGTATCTACGAACAAAAAAGTAATGTTTATAATGAGAATCCTACCCATGTTCTTTGTCACACTCCATATAGCTGTTAAAATTCTATATATATTCATCCTCTTATTATTTCACGGAACAATGGAAAGTCTTCACAGAAAAATAATTTGTATGATAACGGAAATATTGTTCTGATTATAAGTTTATAACAGTTCTTGAAATGTTTCGTGTACAGCAGATCATGATAGACACCAACATGTGATTTTAACACTGCTTTCAAGAATATTGATTTAGTAATATTCCAATAAGTGAACTAAATGAGGGATAATGAAAATTACACCTGCGCCTTCAAAGTTCATGTTCCTGAACTTGGCATACGGCCTAGACTATTGGGTTCAATTTGATAAGTCCACTGCAGGCCTAATACGAACATCCGAGTTTCACTAATAATTATATTTCACTGTAAATTCCATTCAAGAGAAGTTCTTGTTGCTTTTTTATCCGTTATGTATTATCCTTTTAACCTGTGAATTCTGTTGTTTCTAGTTCTACTATAGTCTATGGGAAGTCTAGCAATGCTTAGTTGGTTTCAATGCAAGTTTTGTATACCATATGAAAAGTCTAAAGATCTCAAATTCCAATTGATATTTCTCATCTTTTATTGAGGGTGTAATAGCTTATTTAATCATTTGAATTTATGTCGTTCATCAATTTTTGAAATCCAATGGTTTATTTTCGGATCTTATAGTGTTCTACTACTTTGAACACAAATTATAAAGCCTGATTTTAATTGTGTTGTAATACATGTAGAGTTTATATCCCAAATTCTCTATGTTGACAGTTTTTCATTATGAAAAAGGGAGTAGATAATTTACGTGAAACTTTGTGATTCTTCATCCAGTTGAGCAATTCTTTCTCCCAAGTTCCAATGAGGATTGTCCCCATATAACATGACTTGACAATACATCAGTCGATCCTTGTATCTCCTTGCAAGCTGTTTGGTTGGCTCATCAAATGCACTATCAAAGAAATCAACACGAGACTCCGACTGCAACTCTCCCAGTCGACTTTGTAGTTTTCTGCTCATTAGCTGAGGAAGGATGACATTCTCCCAGAGTTCAGGCATGAAGTCTGTTCGAACAAGCCGTGGATGAATCAACATAGCATGAAGAAAGTGTAACGTGACCTGCCAATCATCCCTCTGGAGCTTCCGAACGAGGGAGAGGTAGAAGTAGGAACAAGAAATCAGATAATTATTCTGAATACCACCAGTGCTGCCATGCTCTTGAATTAATGCTGGAACCTGAAGCATTCTCTCAGAACTCTTCAGCCTTGAGATTTTCTCCTCGGGCCATTTTGCCTGGATTGCTGCCTCAATGCTTTCTATACCCCAGTATAGATTAGACAGCACCGAGTGTTCAGAGAATTCAAAAAATTCCTGCTTTTGAATCTGAAGCTTGGAAGTGCATCTCTGTCGCAAAGAGTTACGGGTCTCTGGGTCTTCCAGGAATTTAAGGATGTACTGGTTTACTTGAACTACGAAGACTCGAATAAATTGAAAATCTAGTTTCTCTGAATCAAGGTAAACAGGCTTAGAATGGTAGACCTCCATGGAAGTGTGAGACATGTAAATTTCATGAGAATGATAAGAGGCAGAAAAGATATAGAAGATATATGAAAATGGGAGAGTGACAGAGAGATGTTGCAAAGATATAGAAACACGAGTGTAAATTTTCTTTGCGACTGTTCAGCCAAAAACTAAATTTGTATTGGCCTCTTCATCGCCTGTTAGCTACAGAAAAGATTTATAACTGTGACATCTATTTCGGAAGGGGGGAAAGGCATTCATAACAGAAAAAACTTTCTTCATTTAATTTCTTTCTTTTCCCTTTAGGTCAGTTTACTGCTGTGCAGCTAGCAGTTCATTATAACTGCACTCCTTTTTCTTAGGATTTTTGGTATCTGACAAATCTATGGCAGAGGTGGTAGACTGTGAGATGGTGTTATGTTGGGAGTTTTTGTCCAGTTAACAGCAGTACTATCTACGTAAGGACCACATCAGTTCTCTGCTCTACTAACTGATCCACAGTTCATGCTGTGGGCCTTGGCAGTAAGTTTCTGGTTGTCTATCTCTTGGTGATCTGTCCATATCACGCGAATCTCGGGATGTAAGGGTGAATTTTCTCTGTTCAGAATTGAAACCAAGTGCAGGGAGAAGGTAGAAGAACTGTCTGTATTTCCCATGTCTTTGCAGCAACCACATATAAATTGATAGTCATTCCTGATGTGTTTTTTGTCTTATACAGGTAACAGACTAAGATGTAACATGGTTACGGAAAGGGTATATAGAGAGATGGTGTGTTTTTCCTTGACATCTGCTGCCAATCTTTGGGATATTCTACACATGTTCAGTTATCTGTAAGCTTTTCTCAACACTTGTAAGCTGACTTTCATGCATTGTTTGGGTCTTTAAGGTAACTAGGCATCCTTATAACATGTATTTCTACTTCATTCGTTTAGGCAGTAACAAAAATGGTTAGGCCTCAGCACATTAGCATGTGATGAGTTTGGTTATTATGTAAACCATGTTATCACAAGAAGATTCTTTGAAAACTCTGTTGAGTTGTTCACAGACAGTGTGCCTGTGTCAACCAAATTCTTCAAAGAATAGGTACTCCTAACCTTAAGGTATAATTGATGTGTTTTTGGGTTAAGTTGTCTCTTCCTCTTATCTGTTGTGATTTGTGATAGTGAGTTTGTGACAACCTCACATTCACCCACCACCCTAGGAGCACTCCAAAACAAAAAGAGAAAAAGACACGTTCCCTGTTGAAGTTGACATTGCGAAACTGTGTGAGGTTGTCATGAAAACGACTTTGATTTTGCTGTTTTATTACTGAAGAACTTTAGCATCACATATATCACTTCCGTGACAAATCCCAATCCTAAAAGAATCCCAAGTTGAAAACAAACTTATCAATAAGGAAAGTGAACAGGTTCATATGGCATTTCAGCCACCATCCCCTAGTTAAGCTAGTAGCTACTTCCTAGAAAGATTGGATGAAATGACATTTTTAAACTGGTATGTATAATACTATAATGCATTCAAGAGAACAACATATCAGTGTGTACTTGATAGTTGATAGTTGATACAATGTGATGAAGTGTGGATTTTGTTGACCATTTAATGTTTGTACTTTGATACATGCATCAAATTTGACATATACCTCTGTAGGCTCTAAAGGCTGAATAATGTTTTTGGATGTTTCTTGAATCACAGAATGGCAGACAAAGGGTGTTAGTGAGAAAGGATATGTATACTGTAGGTTGTGGACCCAAATTTGTCTGTCACGAGTTCACATTTGCAAACAATCTGATTATTGATGCTCGATCTGAGAAAAAAGACAACAATGAAGTTGGACTTAGCTGGGAAATGTAGTACCAGTGTACCACTACGGCACTACCACATGATTTTCATTCATGGATGGATATCTCAAGGCAAATTATTGATAAGCTCGACAAATTATACAAAGGTGGAGGACACTCGTGCTGCTTGTTTGGTCATTGGTGGTGCACTGGTGCACACTGACATGTTAATGTTATTCTCCACTGATCGAATTGATCCTTCAGTCCTCCATTGGTTTACTTTGATCTCTTCAAGTATTGCGTTACTGTCAAGACTAAGATCAGCAACAACTGAACAATTTCACGTACTTCTTGGGATCTCTTCAAGTACTGCGTTAGTTACTGTCAAGACTAAGATCAGCAGCAACTTCACATAGTTCTTCGGTCTCCAAGGATACATCACAAAATAGTTAAGGAATGACCAATTGACCATTACTTTTAACCTAATGGGCAGACTGGTCGATCGGACTTTTACAACCATGGAAGGGCTAATGAATATATATTCAGATACATGCAAGTAACATATGCTTTACAACAGACAAGTCAGTGGAACCTAAAACTCTAGAAGCAAACCAGCAGCAACTCCCATTTCCATTTCTGTTCGGATAGTTGCACTGGCAAAGGAACTGGACTATAATATTTGGGCCGGGTATCTACAGTATGGATACCCACCACTTAAACCCAAACTCCAAGTATCCAACCCAGGCCAGTAGAAACTCGATATCCAACCCACCTTCTTCTTCAGCTAAACATCTGATCTAGTGATCTGACAGACTCAAAGAAGGAGAGAGAGAGAAGAGAGAATGGCATCAGGTTGGGGAATAACAGGAAACAAAGGAAGGTGTTACGATTTCTGGATTGATTTCAGCGAGTGTATGTCACGTTGTAGAGAACCTAAAGATTGTGCTCTTCTTCGTGAAGACTACATTGAGTGTCTTCACCACGCCAAAGAGGTAAAAACCAATTTCAAACCCTAACATTTTCAATTCTTTGATTTCTTCTAATTTGTTTATCCATCATCTTGAAACAATCCTGAAATGGAGATTTTGAGGATTTAATTATTGTTAGATAAAAAAAAAAATTGTAATATTGTCAATTAGACATTAGAATCCTCAATATTTGATTTTATTTTTGTTAGTGTTTGCATATGATGTTCGACATTAGAATACCCAATAATGTAATCTAAAAGCTCACATATATGAATATGATCAAATAAAACCACTTATTACTTCTCTAATTTCATTCAACAAAATAGATCCATTTCTATTGTCCTGTACACCCCCTCAGCGCATATAATAATATCTACTATGTTGGTAATCCTAAGACAAATGCATTGTCTGATGACAACTTTAATATCCGCTGGACCTCTTTATTTTTAGTTATTTTATCCAAAATTATAATTTCACTAACAGTTTAGTTAATGAATTCATAGTTATTATCTATGAGCTTAGCTAGATTGGTCTGGATTTGCCTCATTGAGTAGTCATATGTTTTCTTAGCGGAGTTCTTCCACTAACCTCCATGTCATATGGCTTAGTTACGAGGCATAAATTAACAAATCTCTTGATTAGAGATCTTATCAGGCTGTTTGAGAGACTTAGTAGTTTACCTTTCTATCATGTTCCAAGCATGCCTGGACAGTTTCCTTTTACTTATTGCTTTTCCAGTTTCTTAACACTCATTCATACATAAACGGAAATTAAGTTTTACCTAACCATGTCTAATAAGACATTAGGATAATTCCACTTAACTCCAACCCATATTACCTAACAGCTATGATGATATTGTAGTCAGTGGATATTCTGAGTTTAGTTTAAATCCAAAGACTTTTGACTAGTATGTGTGGAATGTGTTACAAAGGCTATCCATTGGGTTTCTTTTTTCTTCTTTACTTAAAGATAAGAGTTTGTATGGACAGAAATTATTATCACTGGTATCTCGATAATATGCAGTGGTAATGAGTTTTGTTTGGACGGTGATATTATAATGGGATTGCTGATAAGTTGTTGGGATTTCCTTTAAATCAATTACTTGACAAACTTATGAACTTCTAGGGATTTGTCCTTTCACTTTCAGACATAGTTGCACCTCTTCTTTCAAACACATGCAAACTCAATCCAATAGGATCTGTTATTAAAATTATGTACGAATTGTGTCAGACACTACATATATGTTATGGACATCAACACAAGTATGCGTATTTTTATTACAACTTGGTAACCCTCAAACTTGGTATGAGAATGTTGAAACTGGTTCTTATTGAAATCTACATGATGCACCAAAATTAACATGATGACAGCTGCAGGAGGTGCAACTGAAGTCAATTGTTGGCCTTAACATTAAGCTTTCCTCAGACCAAATCCTTTGAAAATCAAGCATGTAGTTTACGTTGACCAAGCCTTCGATGTCCATAATTGATCAGACACTCAGACACACCATAGAAGGTCCTAAACTCCATATTGGGTTCGATTGGTTCATTACATTGTGGTGAACCGTGTTGGAATGTGCAAATGGACATGAATCTACCTTGGTTAAGTTAATCATAATCAGTATGAAGTTATGAACTGTTATTACTTATTTAGGTCAGTGTCATTGCTCATTGGATGTGCCACAAGCATAAATGGATGGAAGGACAGCTCTACGATGGGTTTCAACTCCTAACGAGGAAACATCTGCCACATCTAAGAGTTTTCCATATAAACCATCTAGCAAATTTACACACTAGTCCTATATGACTGCTGCTTAACTATCAAGAGGACCAGTGTGGAGTTGTGCTAAAACTTGTAGTGGACTTGTGTAGGATCAAAGATGAGTTAAGTTTTGGTTAGGTTGATTATTATGCGTTTGTGGCTCAAATTTTGATAGATCTGTACTTCTTATTGCAGTACCAGCGAAGGAACCGTATTTACAAAGAGGAACAACGTCAGATAAGAGCTGCTGCTCGGAAGGCAAAAGAAGGTGACAACGGTGTTGAGAGCAAAGTGCATCATTGACGCAAAGACATTGGTCATCATCTTTTGACCTGAGAATAAGAATGGTTTTTGCAAGAAGTGAAACCGGTTGTGTATTGTTTGCCAACTCTACTGCCTTTCCCTGCAGTCAAATCAGCTTTAATTTTCTTGGTTTCTGGAGACATTAGTTTTCTACTAGTTGCATGGGGGACCATCCATCTATCTCCCTATTTGATTGGTGAGACCTCTGTATTTTGTTGTTAAAATTTCGTCAGATATATTCTTCACATCTGTTTTGTAATTGCTCTGTGAAATATTTCTTATGTCAGAGTTTACTTAACCATCATGTTCTCAAAAATCTTGGAATTTTAGAAGCATGATTTCTCCAATAGTCATTAGTAGGAATTGAGGCCTGGACACCTTGGCTGCTCATTTCTGAATCTCTAACAATGGTAGATGATGATGATTAGAGTTGTAAAAGGATCATCAGTATTTTGATTTTGCATTGCAGAATTTATTAGACAGGGGCCTACGATAATAAGATTGACAGACCATTACATTTAGCCTTCCTCGGTAGCCTATTACCAGTTGTATAAGAGATCTATTTTAGTCATTTTAGACCATCTAACAAAATGGTTCAATGTCAGTTTCTTACTTTATTCTTAAACAGTCCCTATACAGAACATCTTCCAACATTGGGTGATTTATCATCTAATGTATAATAAAGATAATGGGGTGTTTTCTTTGTCTTTGTTTACATTGATGAAAAGAGCTTTCTTTGAGAAATAATGTCTCTTTGTCTCCTTCACACCTTGCATTGATTTCTCTCATTTTTTCTGTACAGCTTTCACATTTTACAATACTAGAACTCAACTCTTATATATAATCCAGAACAGTGGATTCATACCCTTTATTTCGATTTCAAGGATCTATATTACAGTATATTGTACATACTTTTGTTTTTGGGAGGATATATTTTGCTCACATCAATCTATATTACAGCATTCTGAATGGTTGGATGCAAAATGAAGGTAATAAGTAAAAATAACAAATAAACCATTAACAATGCGCCACTTGGAGCTTAATAATTTGAGGCTTCATGACCCATGGACCTAGATCTCAAACATTTATATATTTGAGTATTTTTTTTATTTTTTGAGGGAAACAACTATATTATTCTTTTGTGAATATATTATGGTTTTATACAATTGACTGTAAATAAGAACCTCCTAATAAACCAGAAGAAGACTTGTTCCTTTCTCTTCATACTTAGCTTGCAAGAAAAAGAAAAAGAGATGATAGAAGAAGAAAGAAGAGGTACAGCACCTCATGGTATAATACTAGCTGTAGTAGTTAGTTTAGTAGTTATAGTTCCATTTCTACTTGGTGATGGTGGTGAAGCTTTAACTGAAGCCATTGCAGAGATCTTAAGTCCTATTGGACTTCTCTTAGTTCCTATAGCTCTTCTCTTAGTCATTCAATTCTTATCTTCCGATCGAGCCACCGCATTCTCAGGCTTCTCTACCGGTGAACCGGATTCCATTCATCGTCTTAGTGGATCTCCTGTTGGTGTTGCACTCATTCTCATCCTCATATTGTTTCTCTTGTACAACAGGGTTTCATTGTTTGGATCAGGTGATGATGATGATGAGTAGTAGTAGTAGTAGTAGTATTATACCAGATCCAAACCTGCTGTCTTTTGGTTCAGTTTTGTACTGCTGGTTATTATTATTTTTACTTAGTCATACATGATTACATGTAGTAATCTGAAATTACTAGAATGTAGAATGGTCTATATATTTTGTTATTGTTATTCAGATATATAAATTACCAACTTACTTGTTGAAATGTTTTATTTTCAATGGTCATTTGGTTCATTGGTTGTACATTGAATCTTCTTCATCATATTAAATGAAGTCCCAAATTGCCCTTTAGTTTGTTTTGGAAAAAATTGTTGTACATTTTTTTTTTTTACATTCAAAAATATTTATTGATAAAATTGAAGAATTATATAAAAGTGGAGGACAAGAGTTCCGTAAACTGTGCTGCAAATCATTTCTGAATAGCAAAACAAATTTTTTAAAAACATATTTATTCAATCAGCAATTAAGTTTCTTATCAAAAAAAAAAGTTTGTTAT